GCCGCAACCATGCGCGTGTTGGTGCAGTGTTGCCGGTGTTCCCGCTCTGCTCCTGGCGCCGGGGGCCCGGGACCGAGTCGCACGCGGCGGGCTCTGTCAGGGCTGGGCAGGCTCCCGGGCGGGGAGGGCTGCCCGGACGCCCGAGGCCGCGAGAAGCCGCCCTGGCGGGTACTCTTCTTTGGCACCGACCGGTTCGCCCGCGAGGCGCTGCGCGCGCTGCTCGCCGCCAGGTACCCGCGGGAGGGGGCCCCGGGAGGCGCGTCCCAGACCCTGCGGCTCTCCTCGCCTGTGGGGCCTGGCGCCGCACTACCTGTCGGGTCCTCCGCGCCCAGGCCTCGCGGGGCTGAACCGAGACTGGGCAGCCGGGCCCGACCGCCCCTGCGGCTCTGCGTGCGGGGAAGCGGGGCCCAGGGAGGTGGCGTGGTTGCCCGAGGTAATCGGCTGAGCTGGGTGGGGCTGCGGCCGGGCCTGACTTCCAAGTCCCCCTTTCCACTCGCTCCTGCTGCTTCCCATCCACTTCGCGTGCACGTTGCGGTCGCTTCGGCCGGACCTACCGGGCACGACCCTAGTGCACACTCGTGTCTCGCCCCTTCGCCCCCCTCGCCCTGTTTGTACACAGCGCGACCCCGTTTTCTGGGGGCTGAAACGAGGACATAGACCAGAAACAAACTGTTTTCAAATGGATAAATGTCTACATCAGAATTCTTAGGTATACATTTAGTATTTATAAAAATGTTTAGCAAATCTTGTTTACTGGGAAAAACATTTGAAATCCAGTCTGTCTTGAAAGTCTGCGCTATGTGGTGGCAACACCTTATGTACTTCTCTGCCTCTTATCCCGGTTTGTATTTTTTATTTCTCCATTCCGTTTTTTCCCGATGTACGCCCCCCTCCTCATTTTTATCATCTCCATCTCCTCTTCCCCACAAATATTTCACAGCAGCCTCTCATATATGAATCCTTCATCAATCCTCTGAATCGTATTTTCTCCATACACTTCTCTGTACGCACTCGAAAGGATATGTCCTTTGGGCTGTGTTCCTTTTGCACACCCTCTTTGTGCTGCTGTTTCCCAGGTTGTCACATGCATCTCTTGCTGCGTGTGTCCCCACACTTCTGATGATGCTTCAGAAGCCCCACGACTTCTGTGCTTTCTTTTTGGTGACCAGTACATGTGTCTTTTCTCTTAACCTCTCAGGTGTGTGTGCAGCACCTGTTTAATAAATACATGCACCATCCCTGGGCACTGGAATACTATGTAGCAGGCAAAAAAAAGGAGATTGTGCTACATATATTGCCATGGAATGATGCCCATGGGATATATTTTTGTTTCTTTTAAAAAGTACTGTTTGGCACATGCATGTGGTATAAAATTTCATAGATTCAGAGGATATGCAGTGAAAAGTTGTTTCCTTCCACTTGTTTCCCAGTTCCTCTCTCCAGAGCGAGCCACTGTTATCAGTTTCTTCTAGAAATGTTTAAACATACATATACAAGCATATATATTTAACCTGTTTTTCAGAAGACACACATAATAGCATATATAGCATTGTTAAGAGGAAAAAAATGCAGAACAGTGTGTATAATGTCCCAACTGTGTAAAATACTGCAGGTATGCACAGAAAATCTCTAAAATGATGATGTCCACATGGTAGCTACTAGTGACATGTGACTCTTTAAATTTAAAATGAGTAGAGTTAAATAGAAAGGAAAACTCAGTCTCTCAGTCACACCAGTTTTAGTCATTTAGCTCTAAATGCTTCATGAAATTAATCGTAAACATACCTTAGTGGTGTGTATAGTTTAGCTTTGAGTCATTGCCTTAACACTGTCCCATTTTTCTTCACATCTTTCTAACTTAGGGAAAACAAAGAGGAAGAGTTAATTGAAAAACTGGAAGTGGTCACAGTGCCTTCCCCGTCACCAAAAGGACTGCCAGTGAAGCAATACGCTGTTCAGTCTCAGCTTCCAGTCTATGAGTGGCCAGATGTGGGATCTGGGGAATATGATGTTGGAGTCGTGGCTTCATTTGGCCGACTTCTGAGTGAGGCTCTTATTCTTAAATTTCCCTAGTAAGTTTTATTCATAAGGAAATATAACGTAGAAACCTTGATCTTTTGAAATGGACCTTGTATCAGACCTATAATGTGTTCATTTATAAATGGGTTTAACTCCTTATTACTCTCTATGAGCTTTCATCCACTTTTGTTTAAATTCCTTGTATGTGCTGACATTTTCCAAATGTCTCTCTTCAGCTCAGCATTCTCTCCAAACCCCAGGCTCCTAATACCTAGGCACCTGATATTTAAGATGCTCAAAATATCTTCTCCCAAAATCTTTGTCTCAATAAATGGCAACTCCATCCATCTTGTTGCTTGGGCCACAAATCCTGGAGTCATTCTTGATTTCTTATCTTACTCTCCACATCCAACCCATTGTGAAACTCTACTGACTTTGCCTTCAGGATCTGTGTAGAGTCTAGTCTGTCTGTATCTCTTTACTTCCATTGCTGCCACTCTTGCCATGCCTCCCAACTAGTCTCTACTTCTGTCTTTGGCCTTCTCAGTCCTTTATCAACCCAGCAGCCAAAGTGACCCTTTAAAATTTTTAAAAATTAATTTTAATTTTAATTTCTTTAGGGTCTTGCTCTGTCACCCATGCTGGAGTGCAGTGGTGTGATCATAGCTCACTAGGTGAACTCCTGGGCTCAAGTGATCCTCCCACCTCAGCCTCCCGAAGTATCTGTCCAAGTAACATTAAATTTGTAGCCCATGATAAACTATCAATTTTTTCTTTTTTAAAAAGAGACAAGATCTTGCTATGTTGCCCAGGCTAGTCTCAATCTCTAGGACTACAGGTACCCACTGCCATGCCTGGCTGATTTTTTTTGTAGAGAAGGGATTTCACTATGTTGCCCAGGCTGGTCTCAAGCTCCTTGACCTCCCAAAGTGATGGGATTACAAGTGTGAGTCACTGTGCCCAGCCAGGGAATATTTGTTGATGAATGTGATTGGGGAATGATGAGACTTAAAAGACTCTCTCACATACACGTGCTCTCAAGTGTGGACTCCTGCTGAGTGAGATATCATTAAACTAATGACAGGTTAGTAAAGTATTCAAATTGCTCATCAGTGGATGACAGGGATATTGGCATAAACAGCAAAGGTGAACAGATTATTTGATGGGGATTCAAGAGGCTTATTTTAGGCATTCTATATATAAACCAAGCGAAGTGATGGTAATTATGTGTCTAAACTATAAATATAATTTGAATTGTTCATGAGATGCATAATAGAGTTTGAGTGGTTCTTCTCTTACAGTAATACATGTCCCCTTGACCTACTAATTTCTGTGTTTTCCAACTCAGTGGTGTACTGAACATCCATCCTAGTTGCCTCCCGAGGTGGCGTGGTCCAGCTCCTATAATCCATACGGTTCTTCATGGAGACACCATTACTGGAGTAACAGTTATGCAGATTAGACCTAAAAGGTTGAACCTGTTTCCTTTCTTAATATTTTTGTGATGTTGGATGTTGATGTCAGTCTGTTTTGGGGAGTAGATGAATGGATGGTGCTCACTAATTTCTGTGATTGCAGAGTGCCTTTGCTTTCGTGTCCTTTCTTTTTCTAACATAAGCTACGTGGCTTTTGGTATTTATGTAGTGTCTCTTTAAAGTCCATATGAAAATTTTAATGTTAATTGAAATGTATTATTAACACCTGGATTCTCTAAAAGATATTGTGTAAATGAGAGATGGATTCTTGTATGTTAGTTGTTTTCAGTCTTGGTTCTGCTGCCTTGGTTTCTAAATTATGGTAAAAAAAAATTTTGGATCCTGAAGTAAATATATATTTTATATCAATAGGTAATGTAATTGTCCTAAACATTTATTTTCTTGTCATGCCTACAATCTAGAAACAATTTCAAAAAATGACTTGAGTTTATTCAACCTCTGCCTGTTACCACCTAATTTCCCCATGGGAAAAAATAATTCACAATTTCACAAGAATAACGGGATATCTTGGATTTGCTTTAACTTACTTCAGAAAAACATGGGAGGGAATAGATGAAACGAGTGGCAAAACCTTAGTAATTCTAAAATCTGGGTGTTATGTATATGATGATTCATTAGACAAATCACTCTTTTTTTAAAGTTTGTAATTTTTCATTGTAAATATTTTATTATAGTTCCTAAGTTACAAATAGAATTTACAGAAGCACAAAGTTAAAAATTGTAAATAAAGCCTATTTCTTTTTTTTTCTTTTTTTTGAGTTGGAGTCTCACTTTGTCGCCCAGGCTGGAGTGCAGTGGCATGCTCACGCAGCCTTGACCTGCTGGACTCATGTGATCCTTCTGCCTCAGCTTTCCCAGTAGCTGTAACTACAGGCACGTGCCACAGTGCTTGGCTAATTTTTGTTTTATTATAGAGATGAGTTGTCGCCAAGTTGCCCAGGTGGGTCTCGAATCCACGGAATCAGGCAATCCTCTCATCACAGCCTCCCAAAGTGCTGGGATTATAGGCGTGAGCTACTGTGCTCAGCCTAAACTTCTTTCTTTCTTTCTTTTTTTGAGTCAGAGTCATCCAGACTGGAGTGCAGTGGCACGCTCATGGCCACTGCAGTCTTTTCCTGTTGGGCTCAGGTGAGCCTTCTACCTCAGCCTTCCAAGTAGCTAGAATCACGAGCATGTGCTACCATGCCTGGCCAATTTTTTTTTTTGATTTATTGTAGAGATGAGGTCTCGCCATATTGCTCAGGCTGGTCTTGAACCCCTGAACTAAGGCAGTCCTCTCACCTCTGTCTCCCAAAGTGCTGGGATTACAGACTTGAGCCACCGCGCCTGGCCTATAAAACCTGTTTCTAATGAAAGCTCATGGCCAATGTTTACAGAGCTTCATGTAAAATATAAGACTTTTGGGACTGCAGATATAGTTGCATTTACTTATAATCACTAATCATGATAATCCAGGTATTGCTCTTGTCCTTTCAAAAAGGAAATAAATCATTATTAATTTTGAATTGTACTTCCTTGGGAAAATAAATGATTTGCCTTTTGCCTTATGTTTTTCATATTCAAAAAGATATTTTTCATATTATTTATTACTAGTAGTAGAATTTTTTGGCAATTGCAGTTAAATCCCTGATTTGCAACTGTATACTTTTTCTCCCTTAGGAAAAAAATAATTTAAAATCTGAGTACGGTCCATATTTTGTTCTCCGTTTTTTCAAATATTTCCCTTTTAATGCTGACACCAAATTAATTGCCAGTGATAAACTTTTTTTTAAAGAGACAAGCTCTTGCTGTGTTGCCCAGGCTAGTCTCAAATTTCTAGACTCAAGTGAGTCTCCTGCCTCAGCCTCCCAAGAATCTGGGGCAACAGATGCTAGCCACCACACCTGGCTTGTATATTCTTGTATGTAGACAAACTTCTTAGGAAATAGTAATCATTGTTATATGCTTTTGATTTTTTGCTAGGTTTGATATAGGCCCAATTCTCAAACAAGAAACCATTCCTGTGCCACCCAGGAGCACCGCAAAGGAACTGGAAGCAGTGTTGTCAAGATTGGGTGCCAACATGGTATAGTTAGGTTCCTAAGTGTTTATGATGAAAAGAACGATTTTATGACTTATACTTTTAAGTTTCTTTTTATAAAACAACAATGAAAGAGTGGCTCCTATCCCTGGCTTTCTAAAAATTAGCCTGGCGTTTGTGATATCATAGAAATCTTTGAGAATTTATACTGTTTCAAGTGAAACGGGTGATCTCATATGGTCTACTACATTTCATAATGAAGCCTTTAGACTGTTCTTCCTAATTTCACTCTCTTTACTCTCATATGTATACCTTGCATCCCCATCAGACTGAGTTCACAGCAACTTCTTGTGTGACTCTTAGCTTTCCTCCCACTTCTGTGCCAGGGTTCCAGTCATCTGTGTCCACCCACATTAGTATTCTGCTGACTACCCTGCCTATGGATTATCTTTTTTCACTCTGTATCTTTGTAGAGCTTATTGAATTTTCATACAGTAGGGTCTTGGGTAAATGCTTAATGATAAAATACATGTTTTTGATATGAACTAGATAATTTTAGGCAGAAGAAAGTTTTTTCCCAACTGTATAGGTGGTACTTCCTATTCTATTCACACAGATGATCTTATGATATTATGATAGTGGCTGCCATTTTTGGAGCATTAGCTTGTATGCCAAAATTGTTCTAGACACTGTGGGCTTTTTATTACCCTCCCAACTTTGAGGTAGTTGTTGCTATTGATTGTTTCACAGATGATGGCATTGAAGGCCACAGACAAGTTAAATAACTTTTCCACAATAAGACAGTGGGTGTGTGTTGGAACTGGGATTTGAACTCAGAGCTGAGTCACTCCAGAGTGCATTCTACTTTTGTGAAGCTTCATTGCCATCTTTTCTGTGGGGTGAGAGTGTGGATAGCTGAGCACAGAGTGTCCTGATGCCAAAAGCTTGCACAGCCAGGCAGAGCCCAACCTTACTAAAAGTGAGTCAATGACCTGCACTTGACAGAGAGCAGCATGTCCACTGAGCCTCTCCTGATCAGATGCACATCCTCACAGCTGAAGCCAGTTTACTGCCTTACCCTGCTTTTCTTTTTTTGTTCTTTTTATCTTGAATATGTCACTCTTTCTCCTTTTTTTTGTAGCTCATTTCAGTTTTGAAAAATTTGCCTGAAAGTCTGAACAATGGAAGGCAGCAGCCAAAAGAGGGGGTGACATATGGTGAGTGAAGACCACAGAGACTCTCATGTTTTTCAGAGGTTCTGTTCGTCATGATGGCATCTGAACACTCTGACTTTTTCACTGTACTTTTCCCTTAATTTTAACTACAGATTGCATGCCCACTTGTATGTTATTTTCTAAAGAATGATTGGTAAGCTTTGTCTCTCCTTCTTAGCTTGTAACCTCATGAAGGATTGAACATTGTTTTTGAACTTTTTATTTTGAAAAGTATTAAATGACCGGGCTTGGTGGTTCAACCTGTAATCCCGCGCCTTTGGGAGGCTGAGGTGAGTGGATTGTCTGAGCCCGCGGGTTCGAGACCCGCCTGGGCAGCGAGACCTCATCTCTACAGTAAATCAAAAAATCAGCTGGGCATGGTAGCGCATGCCTGTAATTCCAGCTACTCGGAAGGCTGAGGTGGAAGGATCGCTGGACCCCAGCAGGCGAGGCTGCGATGGCCGGGACGGCCACTGCACTCCAGTCTGGGCGACAGAGTGAGACTCCAACTCAAATAAAAAAAAAAAAAAGAAAAGTATTAAATGGAGTTAAATTGAAAGGCTAGTATAATGAATATGAGTTTACTCCAGCATCAATAATGATTGAACCATATTTTCTTTCTCTCTTTCTCTGTTTATTTAGTATGCATATATTAAAATTTGCTTACTCATTTGGAAGTATGAATCATGACCTATAATCTCTAAGTACTTTATTTTATTTTGAGTTGGAGTCTCACTCTGTCACCCAAGGTGGCGTGCAGTGGCATGTTCATGGCTGCCATAGCCTCGACCTTCTGGGCCCAGGTGATCCTTCCGCCTCAGCTTTCCAAGTAGCTGGAACTACAAGTGTGCACCACAATGCCCAGCTACTTTTTTTGATTTATTGTAGAGATGAGGTCTTGCCAAGTTGCCTAGGCTGGTCTCAAATCCTTGGGCTCAGGTCATCCTCACACCTCTGCATCCCCTAAGTGCTGGGATGACAGATGTGAACTACCATGTCCAATCTCTTAAGTACTGAAGCATGCATTTTCTAAGAAAAATGGTTAATTCCCTATAGCATCCACTATCCAGTCCATACTTAAATGTTCCTAATTTTCCAGAAATTGTATTTTATAGTTGTTTTATTTTTCAAACAAGTATTCAGGTGTAAATAGTTGTTGAATCTCTTTAATCTCTTTAAAATTATTATTTCACTATTTTTTCCCCCTCTGTGTCATTGACTTATTAAGAAACCAGGCCAGTTATCTGATTTGCTTTCTTCCAGTGTTGTTTAACTTTTTTCCCCCCCTTATATTTCCTGTAAATTAGAACTTCTAAAGGTTGACTAGATTCAGGCTTAAAGTTTTTAGAAGGATTATTTTATAGATGATACCGTTTCAGTGACATTTGATTCAGCTTGTTTTTAATTTTAGGGATTGCTTTTTATGGTTCTTTATGATTAAATTTTATTTTTTGAATATGTGAAATAGGTATCTGATTCAAAAGTTAATATATACAGAGAAGCCTCACTTTTGTCTCCTCCAGTCTTAAGGGTATAACTTCAGTAAGCCAGGATATCAGGGTACACCACAACTAGTGAAGCTAAGTTTGATCACTTGGCTGAGATGGTGACTACCAGATCTTTCCCAGTTAAAGATGTGTTTTCTCGTTTGCAATTAGAGGATAATCTGAGGGATATTACTTAGGCACTGTGCAAATATCCTGTTCCCTAACAACTTTTGGTTCTAGCACAGTTTGTTGTTTCTTGCATGAATGAATTTATTTCATATGGATTGCAAAATGGTAATTTTCCAGTTCCTTTTACATGTCATAGTTGATATTGTTCTGGAAAGAATTTTTTCTTATTAATTGGAGATAAGTTTTAGTTCATGCTAAAATGAGGATAAAGGCTTTATTTTTTTAAATTTAGTTAAGAGTAAGAAGTTGGTGCCATAATTGTCTTTATGTGGCGGAGGAGTTCTTTCTAGTATAATTTGACTCATAGATTTCCATTTATTGTGTTTTACAGTGAATTAGAGTTACAGTTCTTTGTGCTGCTCAGAAACTCTTTGAGCAGCTCAGATTTCCCAAATTTACCCCTTAAAATTGGCTCCTGCATCCGGTTGACACTCGCTGCTACTTTTGAATGCTTCCTTACTTTCAACCACAGTATGTCCCTGGCTCCCCTGGTCAATCCTCCCCTGTTGGAATCAGCTATTTCTCCAGGGAGCCCTTGTTCATTTTAGTGGGGTTGATACTTAGAGACCATCTGGTATAACAGTGTATCCCCAAAATATGGTGTCAGTGGAAAAACTAGAAAGTATATTTTTTAAAAATATTCACACTTATATTGTTTATGCTTTAAGTTTAACATTAGAGGATTTTCTTTATATCTTCTTGCATGAACTGTCTTTTTTGAAAATTAATATTAATCTATTCATTTATTTGCTATGCATAAAATTGTTTCAGTATTATAATACCAGTATTACTACTAGCAGTAAAACTGAGTAAGGTTTAAGATTTTTTTGCAATTTCTTTTTTGTTCTTAGAACAACCTACTAAGAGTATGTGGTCAGATTACTACTATGTTCAAAACTTACTGGAGATAATTATTTTTTCAATGTATTTTTGTTACCTAGTTTATACATAGTTAGGTTTATTTGTTTTCAGTTTTAGGGGTTTCTTTATTTTTCTTTATGATTATATTTAATTTTTTAAATACATAAATTATTTACATGGTTCAAAAGTTAAAACAATTTTAAAAGGTATACTCAGAGAAGTCCAACTTCTGTCTCTAGCTAATCTAATTCTGTATTCTTCCCCTTAGGTAGGTGACTATTTTTAGTGGTTTCTGATTTCGCCTCTAGTGTTTCCTTTAGCCAAAATAAGCAAAAAGATACATATTATTATTTTTTCTTTTTTCTCTCACGAAAGTTGGCATAACATATAGACTCTTCTATGCCACTCTTTTCTCACTTAACAGTATCTTGGAGATCATTTCCTATTAGAAAGAAGATATTTTTCTCTTTGTTTTTTATGTAGCATAGTTCTCAGTTGTGTGGCTATATTACAGTTTATTCAACAAACCCCTGTTGATTGGCATTTGGATTGTTTTCAATTTTTTGTTATTTCAAATACTACTACTATGATTCTACAATCATACAAGCAGTAGAAAAAAACAACAACTACTATGAGTAACTTTATGCACAAGTTATTACTTCCTAATCTAAGAGATAAGAAATTGTATCTTGAAGTCGTTTTGTTATACGTTATTCCTGTGAGTGATGTTAAGGATCTTTTTATATATTTATTTTATTACATTTTTTCTCTTTCTTTCTTTCTTTCTTTTTTCTTTCACAGGATTTTGCTCTGTTTGCACTTCCTTTTTCTGGGAAGTGTCATGTATTATGCCCATTTTTCTAACAGATTTTTTGGTCTTTTTTTTTAGGAGTACTTTATATAAGTATTCACAGAAATTAGTCCTCTGTGAAATAATTTGTCACAGTTTGTCATTTGCTTTTTTATTTAACTTGTGGCATTTTTTTTTGTCTTATTAAAAAGCACTTGTGTGGTTTATTAGTTTTATTTATTTTTCCTTTATATTATGGAAAATTTTGAACATATAGCATAGTTGAGAGAATATTATAATGACTCTCTTGTACTTATTTTTCAGCATCAACAATAGTCAGTTCATAGACATTGCCCCTGATATTCATTTCTGCTCTTGGCTTTATCTTGTAGCCCCTAAGATTTCTGCTGGTACCAGCTGTGTAAAATGGGAGGAACAAACTTCAGAGCAAATATTCAGACTTTATCGTGCTATTGGAAATATAGTAAGTTGGGAAGTCATGTTGTAGTTTTACTTGCTTGACTTTCTGTGTGTGTAATTTTCTTTCTAAATATTTTTATTTAGGAGTGAATCTCATAAGTGAAACCCAGGATCTGAATTTATTTTTAAACTATTCTTTAAACCTTAGTTTTTACAGGAGCCTTAGAATTTATAAAACACCTGCAAATGCTTGCAGGTTCTTTCTTTCTTTCTTTTTTTTTTAGTTGGAGTCTCACTCTGTTGCCCAGACTGGAGTACAGTGGCCGCTCCTGGCCATTGCGGCCTTGACCTGCTGGGCTCCGGCAATCCTTCCGCCTCAGTCTTCCAAGTAGCTGGAATTACAGGTGCGCACTACCACGCCCAGCTAATTTTTGATTTATTGTAGAGATGAGGTCTTGCCAAGTTGCCCAGGTGGGTCTCGAACCCGCGGGCTCAGGCAATCCACTCAGCCTCCCAAAGGCGTGGGATTACAGGCTGAGCCACCGAGCCCAGCTGCTTGCAGTTTCTTATAACTGTGTTTTATTATTTCATTTCATAGGTGAGGGGAATGAAAATGAGATGGCTAACTTGGGAGTGCCCAATAACTCCTAATCCAGTGCTTTTTCTAGTATGTCTTTCTGCTTCTGTCCAATTTTTTTCCTTCAAGTTCTTTTTTTTTGAGTTGAAGTCTCACTCTGTCACCCAGACTGGAGTGCAGTGGCTGCTCCCGGCCACTGCAGCCTCAACTTGCTGGGCTCTAGTGATCCTTCCGCTTTAGCCTTCCAAGTAGCTGGAACTACGGGTGTGTGCTACCACACCCAGCTAATTTTTGATTTGTTGAGATTAGGTCTCGCCAAGTTGCCCAGGAGGGTCTTGAACCCGCGGGCTCCCAAAGCGCTGGTATTATAGGCTGAGCCACCGAGCCCGGCCCGTCAAATTCTTAAATTATTGATTTCTACATATGGTACACAAAGTGAAGTTCAGTGTAACAGCTTGTTAAAATATCTGAGTTAAATTCCTAGTTCCTTGGCAGATATGTGGGAGTTTCCTCGTCATTTTTGTTTGAACTCTGGGCTTACCAAGTGTGTGATTTTTTTTCTTTGTTTGTTTGTTTGACCTTTTTTTATTTTATTTATTTTTTATTTTTATTTTTTTTTGAGTTGGAGTCTCACTCTGTCGCCCAGACTGGAGTGCAGTGGCTGCTCCCGGCCACCGCAGCCTCAACTTGCTGGGCTCCGGTGATCCTTCTGCCTCAGCCTTCCAAGTAGCCGGAATTACAGGCATGCGCTACCACGCCCAGCTGATTTCTTTTTTTATTTAATTTTTTATTTTTTATTTTTTTGAGTTGGAGTCTCACTCTGTCGCCCAGACTGGAGTGCAGTAGCAGCTCCTGGCCACCGCAGCCTCGCCTGCTGGGCTCCGGTGATCCTTCCGCCTCAGCCTTCCGAGTGGTGGGAATTACAGGCGTGCGCTACGATGCCCAGCTGATTTTTTGATTTATTGTAGAGATGAGGTCTTGCTGCCCAGGCGGGTCTCGAACCCACGGGCTCAGGCAATCCTCTTTTTTTATTTTTTAAATCAGGGTTTCACAGGATTTCAGCCCAGGCTGGAAATCAGTGGCACAATTATGGTTTATCGTGGCCTTGACCTCTTGAACTCAGGAGATGCTTCCACCTGGCCTCCTGAGTTGCTGGGACTACAGGCATGCACCAGTGTGCCCAGCTAATTTTTTAATTTTTTTGTAGAGGTGAGGTCTTGCTATGTTGCCCAGGATGGTCTTGAACTCCTGGGCTCAAATGATTGTCTTGGCTCAGCCTCCCAACATGCTGGGATTATAGGTATGAGTAACCACACCCAGCCAAGCGTGTGGTTTTTAATGGATCACTTGTGTTATTAATGTGGCTAAATGGGCAACTATCATTAGATATGTATAGCATGCCAAGTTCTTCAGTGAGGATAACAACCTCATACTGTAGTTATTATCCCATTTTAAGGGTGCGGTGGCTCACGCCTGTAGTTCCAGCTTCTTGGGTGGCTGAGGCAGGAGGATTGCTTAAACCCAAGAGTTGAGGCTACAAGCTATGATTGCACTACTGCACTCCATCCTGGGTGACAGAGCAAGACCCCAGCCTTTAAAAAAATAGAGATTGAGATACCCAATGAATTGTTACTGAGTGTTGCTCAAGGTAATCAAGGAGAGTTAGAGTCAGGTTTTAAACAAGATCTGTCTGACTTCAAATTCTGTACTTTTCCGGCTGCAATAGAATGGCACTGGGGGACATGGACTTGAAAGCCAGACAGAGCTGGGTTCTATCTCATCTCTGCCACTTCTTAACTTTGTAGACTTAGGAAAGTTATATAACTTCTGAGCTTTAGTTTGTTCATCAGAAGATCAGGGCTGATAAAATGTATACAAAGCATCTAGTATAGTATCTGGTACAGAGTAGGTACTCATTAAATGAAAGCTGCTATTATCCATGCATTCACTAAACAAAATATTATTGAAGACCTGGTATATCTCAAACAATGTGCTAGGAACTAGAGATACGGGTAGTATGGGAGGACCAACAACAAATAAGCAAATACATAGAAAAAATATCAAATAATATGATAAGTTCCTTGATGAAAATTAAAATAGGATAATTTGATAGAACAACTGAAGGCTGTTTTCAAAAGGTAAATGGGAAGGCCTCTCTGAGCTGACATTGATCTGAAAGATAATAAGGTATCAGCCATGCCAAGATAAGAAAAAGAGCCTTCCAGGCAGAGGGAACAGCTAGTACAAAACTCAAGGTTGGTGGACCCAGATAAAGAATCACAAGAAAAGAAAACTACAGATTAATATCCTTATGAATATGGATGTATAAATCTTTAGCAGAATTAGCAAACTGAATCACACAACATCCATAAAAGGATTGTATACCATTAGCAAGTGGTATTTATTCCAGGAATGCAAGGTTGGTTCAACTTATGAAAACCAGTCAATGTATTATGTCATATTAATAGACTAAAGGACAAAAGCCACATCATTGCTTCGATAGATGCCAAAAAAAAAAGCATTTGATAAAATCACATTTTCATGATTTAAAAAACCTCAATAAACTAGGAATAGAAGGGTACTCCCTCAACCTGATAAAGGACATATAAGAAAAACCTTTCCTCCTAAGATCAGGAACAAGACATAGATTTCTTACAATTTCTGTTTAACTGTATTCTGCCAAGGCAATTAGTCAAGAAAAAAGAAACAAAAGTCACCCAGATTGGAGTAGAAGCAGTAACACTGTCTCTATTTGCAAATAGCATATGTAGAAAGTCATGAATAATTCCCAAAAAAAATTCCAAAAAAGACTAATTAAGTAGAAAGACTTCTGTGTTCATAATTGGATGAATTGAGTATTGTTAAGATGTCTCTACTCCCCAAATTGATCTAAAATTCAACACATTTCCTTTAAAAATCCCAGTTGCCTTCTTTGTAGAAATTGACAGGCTGCTCTTAAAATTTATATGGAAATGGAAGGGGCCCAGAATAACCAAAAACAATCTTGAAAAAGAACAAAGTTGGAGTACTCACACTTCTTAATTTCAAAACTTATTACAAAGCTATGATAATCAAGATAGTGTTGTACTGGCATTAGCTTAATAGAATTGATGTAAGAGTCTAGTAATAAACCCATACATGTATGGAATAGTGCCAAGACAATCCAGTAGAAAAAGAATAGACTAGAGTGGTGGCTTATACATGTAATCCCAACATTTTGAGAGGCCAAGGCAGGAGGATTGCTTGAGCCCAGAAGTTGAAGACCAGCTTGGTCACTGTAGTGAGGCCCTGTTTCTACAAACAAACAAAAAAGATTGGCCAGGCATGGTGGTGTGCACCTGTGGTCTCAGCTATTCAAGAGGCTGAAGGACAGCTTGAACCCAGGAATTTGAGGCTATGATCATACCACTGTATGAGTGAGGCTCTGCCTTAAAAAGTGTGGGGGGGAGAGAACAGTTTTTTTAGCAAAAGGTGCTGGGACAACTGAATGTCCACAAAGAACAAATTTGAGCCAGGCACAGTGGTGTGTGTCTGTATTTCCAGCTATTTGGTAAGCTGAGGTGGGAAGATGACTTGAGACCAGGAACTTGAGTCCAGCCTGGGGCAACATAGTGAGACCAGTTCTCTTAAAAATGCTGCCAGTCTCGGTGGCTCAGCCTGTAATCCCAGCACTTTGGGAGGCCAAGGCGAGTAGATTGCTTGAGCCCGTGGTTCAAGACCAGTCCGGGCAACTTGGCGAGACCCTGTCTCTACAATAAAGAAAAAATTAGCTGGGCATGGTAGCATGCACCTGTAGTTCTGGCTTCTTGGAAGACAGAAGTGGAAGGATTGCTGGAGCCTGGTAGGTGAATGCTGGGGTGGCCATGCGCGTGCCACTGCACTCCACCCTGGGTAACAGAGTTAGACCCAACTCAAAAAAAAAAAAATGCTGAATTTGGATCACCTCCACCCCATATCATATATAAATGTTAACTCAAAATGGATTGGCGACTAGATGAAGAGTTAAAATTAGAAAACTCTTGGAAGAAAACATAGATGTCAATATTCATGATATTAAATTAGGCAGTGGTATCTTAGAAGTGATGCCATAAAGTATAAACAACCTAACTAAAAATAGAGAAATTGGACTTCATCAAAATTAAAAACTGTTGTGATCCCAGTCTATAGATTGGGAGGAAATATTTGCAAATCATGTATCTGATAAGGGTTTAGTATCCAAAAAAAATAAATAACTTTTACAAATCTACACCCCCCCAAAAAATACAACCCAGTAGAAAGTGGCCAAGAATCTGAGTAGACATTTCTCCCAAGGAGATATTTAAATAGCTAATACTCACATGAAAAGATGAGTGACATCATTAGTTTTTAGGAATATGCACATCATACAATTAATTAAAAAATTCAAGATATTAACTGGTGTTGGCAAGGAGGTAGAAAACTTTAGAATCCTTGTATACTGCTGGTGGGAAAGTAAAAGGGTTCAACTACCGTGGAAAACAGTTTGGGAGTTCCACAGAAAATTAAATCTGGAGCTGTCATATGACCCAGCATTTCTACTTCTGGATCGGCACATACTCAAGATAATTGAAAACATATGTTTACACAAAAACATGTACCCAAATGTTCATAGCAGCATTACTTAGAATAGCCAAAAAGTAGAAACAACTCATATGTCCTTCAACTGATGGATTCATAAATAAATCCGGTATATCCATACAATGGCGTATAATCCAGCCATAGTCACAATCACATGTTATAACAATCACATGAAACTTGAAAACACTATGCTAACTGAAAGAAGTCAGTCACAAGAGACCACATATTATATGATTCTATTGATGGAAAATGTCCAAAATAGGCAGATCTATAAGCTGGTAGGAGAGGGTAATGGGGAGTTTCTGCGGGTTTTTTGGAGGACGGGGTGAAGAAAATGTTAAAATTAGGCAGGAAGAAAATTAGTGGCATTGCCTGAACAACTCATTGAATTGTATGCTCTAAAAGGGTGCTTTTTATTGTATGTGAATTCTGTTTCAATCTGTCCCCAAATCCTCAAGATGAGAAAAAACTGGGCACATTGGAGGGGCAGTAGTGAGGCTGGTATGACTGAAGCATAGCCAGCAAGGTGAAGAGTGGTGTAAAATTAAGTCAGAGACAAATGGAGTAAGACTGACATGTGATGGGAAGTCATGGGAGGGCTTGAGAAGGGGAGTACAGTAATGCAATGAGGTGTACGTTCTTAAATGGCCACCCTGGCTGCTGCTAGAGAATGGAGTGGAGGTCAGTTAAGAAACTGTAACTGTAGCCCAGGTGACAAGACTATGGCAGTTTGGAACAGTAATACTAGTGAATAGAAAGACATGGACATCCAGACTGGTTTGGAGATAGAGTCGGTGGGATTTCCTGATGGAATATAGGAAATTAAGAAAAGAGAAATTAGGGTCATTCATAGATTTTTGGTTTGAGCAACTGAGTAAATAGTGGTACCATTTAACTGAGATAAGATATCTGTGGAGGAACAAATTTGTGTAGAGAAATAATAGTTCTGTTTTTGCCATGCTAGTTTGGAGATAGTTAGGAGATATCCACATGGAGATACCAAGTACACAACTTCCTAAAATGCAATTTAAGCCAGTGACTTGAAATCTCCTAGCAGCTCTAACTTACTGCATAAATGATCCTTATCTTTTGAAAATCACCTTTCCTATCCAGGGAGAAAAGCTTTGTGTTATAGAACACTTATCTTGGAACCAAGAGGTAGAATTTGATTCCTAGAGCGGCCCTTTACTAAACAAGAGCAAGGTCTTTATCTTCTCTGAGCTCTGCTTTTTTACCACACATGTGGGGTTAATGATCATGTGCATACATGACTATCAAGAAAAAAGGAAATAAACAATATGGATTGAGATCCATGCAGACATATGATTTTGACAGTAATGATGGTCGATACGAAATGATCATATTCTTAATCACTCCTTGCCTTTCTGCAATGCTCTGATGATAAGAAGTGTGTATTCTGAGGATATCCCAAGAATGTTCATTACTCATGGTAGATGGCAATCTTTTTTATTCAGTAAGCATGTTTCAAAAATATTTTGAGTTCTTTGAAAGAAAAAAATTGTACACATGAAAATAATTTCATAGCTTTTGTTGAGAGCAGGGCAAAAATTAGGCAGCAAGTTATAGAAGAGGGTATTATAGCAAAATATGGCATATACATAGGGTTATAAACATGAGCTTTCTTTTCAAATTTATTCTTTTATTTAGTTTTCAAGTTATTATGACAGCCCAACTCTTCTTAAAGTTAAATGTCCTCTTTAAGATATGTCATAGAGCATCGAACTGAGAATTAGAAAACAGAATCTGCCCCTGGCTCTGCCCCTGACTAACTGTGTCCAGCTTTGGGAAAATAGCTGTATTTCTCTGAGCCTCCCCTTCTTTATGTATGTAGTTGAACTACAATTTGAAAATAAATATATCCACTTCAGAAATTTGAGAAAACTTATTTTCTGGTATGTGTTAATTCTTACTAACCTGTTTAAGCTAGTTCTAGGATCTCAGGCTCATTGGAAATGTGTTATGTGATAAAGGTAGCTTTTCACATTGGGGGGAGGCATGAGATGGATTGTCCAGTAAATAGCACTGGGACAACTGACTAAACATTGGAGGGAGGATCCCCTAAATCTTACCCTTTTAAAATGAAAATGACTGCCATACAATAATGCATAAATAGCTAACAGTACTATACTGTATACTTAAAAATTGTTAACGGGGTAGAAGTTGTTACATGTTTTTTAACCACAATTAAGAAAATTCATAATAAAATCTAGGTGGATCAAAGGTTTAAATATAAAAAATGATTGTTGCATCATGATGGGGCAGTGTAAGAAAATGAAAACATATATATAATGAAACTACAGGGACTGCTAAAAAGCACAGTTGAATAATTTTACAGTATTTAGTAATCTTAAGTGTGGGGTAGGCCTTTTTAAACATGACATGAACCATTGAAGTCATGAGAGGACAGACTTATAAATATAACCCTGTAAAAATAAAAAACTTACATGGTAAAATGACTGTCCCCAAGATTAAAAGTTAACAAACTAGGAAAAATATTCCTAAAATATAAAAGAGTTAAGAGACAATTTCCTTAATATGTAAAAGATGTTTTCAAATTACTGAGATGAACAGTACAGTGTTTAAAAAAATAGTTTACATAGAAATAAATAAAATGTGTGGGTAAACACATGGAGAGGTCCTCAGCCTCACTAATGATAAACAGCAAGAGAGTGCATTTTTTTCACTTGTCAAGGCAGTTTAACAATAAAATGATACTCTTTAATGCAGGCATTTCATTTTTCTTTTTTAAAAAAGCCAAAGCTATTATCCAGAAATACATAAGTGCAAATAGATATATCTACAAGGCTATTTATTACCACATTTCATAATGTTAAAAGTAGCAAGAAATATCATATAGTAATAAATAGCACTATAGTCTATTTAGAAATGTCTGTTTTACCACAGATCATATTTTCTAAAAATAAAATATTGCAAGAATTAGCAAGAATTTGAAAATAACTGAAATATCTGTCACAAAGTTATTAGCTGCTTAACTTATAATATATTTATAAAATGAGATACTGTGCAGCGATACAGAATGAAATAGTTAAGTATGTACTGATGAAAAGTTCTCCATAGTGTATGGTTAAGTAGCAAAAGTTCCATGTAAGATAGTATGTTCTAGACTTTTGTAAAAATAATACTTATAGGAAAACAATAGGGAAATGCACATCAGTGGTGACCTCTGGGGCTGGGAATACAGAATACCGTCACTTTCTAAAATTTTTAAAGCATAAATGCTGTAAAACTTGCATTTTCCATAATGAGCATAAACTTTTAACTGGACATACTAATAAGATACGAACATTGATTTAAAAATAATTTCTAAGATCTTATAAATCCTAGAATGTCTGTTGTAGAGGGACATTTTTTTTTTTTTTTTGAGTTGGAGCCTCACTCTGTCACCCAAACTGGAGTGCAATGGCCACTCCCGGCCACCGCAGCCTCAACCTGCTGGACTCCAGCGATCCTTCCGCCTCAGCCTTCCAAGTAGATGGAACTATAGGCGCGCGCTACCACGCCCGGCTAATTTTTGATTTATTGTAGAGATGAGGTCTCGCCAAGCTGCCGAGGTGGGTCTCGAGCCCGCAGGCCCTGGCAATCCACTCACCCTGGCCTCTCAAAGTGCTGGGATTACAGGCTGAGCCACAGAGCCCGGCCACATTTTTATGTTTTGTTCCCTAAAATTTAGTGACTGAGTTCCCAATCCCTCTAATTGGGAGGAAAGTCAGACCAGGTTAACATAAAATAGTAATTGCAAAGGGTTTGGGGTTGAGTATATTTCCTTATCATAGCTACTTTAATTTTATTTGCAGATTCCATTGCAGACGCTCTGGATGGAGAATACCATTAAACTTCTGGATTTGGTAGAAGTTAACAGTTCAGTCCTTGCTGGTACTAATTTTTGAACAGCTGACATAGAAGATGTTTTCACTATAATCTATTTAAAAATATGTCTGTTTTACCATAGATCATATTTACTAAAAATAAGGATTTGTTTATTTGCAGTTCAGTAATGCTAAGACTTTACATTTGCTCATCATCTTATTCTTTGCAATGTCAATTCATAGGTATTTTCTAATTAACCATCACAAGAATCAAGGAGGTAGGTAGAGCAGTGTTCCTATCCCATTTTAAGCTCTGTGATTTCCTACATGAAGGTTTACAGGGAGAATGAAATGATTTGGTTAGTTTCGTTCTGGTGACTATTATAATGAAAATATCTGAGCAGCCCAGTGAGAATTGAGGCCAGGGTATTCCACTTCATGCCACAGGTATGTTCTGAGGCCCTTTAGTGTCCTCCCAGTATGATGGATGGAAGGAGTGTGAGCCACAGAGGGAACTGGTCTAGTCTAGTAGTCTTGACTAGCTTGTCTAGTCTAGAGGGAGCTGCCAGGATTCTAGTAATCATGATTTCTTTGGGCATTGATGGAAGGGCCATCTGAATTCCTAAGCATCTTATATGTCTCTCCACTGGTGGGCAATTACTTTGCCAAATGCGAGTGTAAAACTTGTAGAGTCAGCATTTCAGGTGATCACTGGGAGACTGGGTAAAGGAGCTGTAGCTTCTTATGTGTGTGGGAGGCTTTCCCTTGGATTTGTGATGTACACAGAGCACAGTGACTTCATTCTGAGTTTTGAATTGCAAAGTCAACATCAGCAAGTATATCCTCTATGGTTTTAGTACTTCCTCCTAAGATGTTTTTGAATTTTAAGAAGTACCATGAAGTTGCATAATTTTTTATTTTATTCTCTCTTTCTTTTCCCCTTTGTTCAGATCCCAAATTAACGGGACAGGAAGTCATTCCAGGATCAGTAGTATACCACAAACAGTCACAAATTCTGCTGGTTTATTGCAAGGTATACTTTCCTTTAGTTTCAAATGATCATATTTGTTTTACTGAATTTATGGTTTATATGATACACTTCTTATCTACCTGTCCATCAGATTAGGTCAATAGATAGTTTAATTTTCTCTAGAAATAGTGGAGCCTCTAGCATTATTTTTTTGGAAGTGATGTGTTGCCAAGGCATTATTAATTAGCCAGTGAAAGAAGGTTCAGTAACTTGAATGTTTAAAAGAAAATCTGTTTTTCAGTAATCCAGTTTAATATAACAAGCTCTTAGAATTGATAATATAATACCCAACAGAGGTTATGAGATTTCTAGCTATTTAAAATAACTTTGGAAACGTTCATTATCGGCTTATTCCTGAGAAGTATTCCAGAATTCCTTCTGTTTCCTGAGGATTTTCCATTATGTGATGTTTATGTGAGATACTTCATGCTTAAGATGGCCTATTTGAAATATGCTACAAGGCTGGGCGCAGTGGCTCACATCTGTAATCACAGCAGTTTGGGAGGCCAGAGCAGGAGGATTTCTTGAGCCCAGGTGTTCAATACTAGCCTGGGCAACATGGCAAGATCTTGTCTTTAAAAAAAAAAAAAAAAAATTAGTGCGTGCCAGTATTCTCAGCTATCAGGAGGCTGAGGCAGGAGGATTGCTTGAACCCTGGAGTTTTAAGCTGCAGTGTGCTATAATTGTGCCACTGTGCTCCAGCCTGAGTGACAGAGTGAGATCCCCCATCTCAATAAAATAAAATATATGACAGATTGATCTGACCTATATAGACTGTAGATTGAGAACTCCTCCATCAGTCTCTCTTCATTTCTCACCAGCTTATTCTGGAAGAGTGTTGGGTACATATATCTTGCTGTCCTAGTCTGGTTCTTAATATGTATGTATTGCGTGTCTGCAGTTTGCGTTTATAAAAGAAGCTGAGGTTGTTGGGACAAGTGAATTTGAGCTTTGCCAGTTGTGTTTCCACAGACAAATCACCTACCTTCTCTGGGCATTAAGTGTTCTTTTCTAAAATATGGACAATAATGGATCTGTCTACCTTTTAGATTTGTTGTGTTTGATTACCAGTCACAATAAATGATGTGGGCATACTCTGAAACTGTTACGCATCTTGCAGATACAACATACCTTTTTATTCTGCTCCCCTTATGTTTAAATGGGTTTATGTAGGCCTGTGCATTTATCTCTCCTTAGTAATAAGCTTTTAGTGACAAGCAGTTGTATGTGTTACTTAGTGCAGTGCTGTTTGCAGCTAGGCATTTAGTAAATGTTTGTTTAGTTCTTTGTTTCCATGATAAAAATTTTATAAACTCAAATGTACTTCGTTTTTCAGTTTTGACACCACTGACTTTCACTGTCTTTTTGCCTTTTAGGATGGCTGGATTGGTGTTCGATCAGTGATGCTTAAGAAAACACTAACAGCTACTGATTTCTACAATGGATATTTGCATCCGTGGTACCAAAAAAATTCCCAAACTCAACCAAGCCAATGCAGATTTCATACTCTCAGACTTCCAACAAAGAAGAAGCAGAAGAAAATTGTTGCTATGCAACAGTGCGTTAATAGTTAGAAGTTGGACAGGAACCTATTACACATTTGTAGTTTATTAAAAACCTTATATGCAAGGAATTACCTGGACTGTCAAAGAAGATGACACTGTTGGAGGATGAGAAGATTGTTGTCAAAAGGATGGATTGCCTCATCTTCCACTTTCTGTGTAGCAGTCGTGTTACCTAAATTACAGAAAATTTTAAATAAAATTTGTATGTATAATATTGAACTCACAGAGACTATAAGTGCAAGGATAACTAACTGCGTATGTATATACTGAAAATAAGTTTTATTTGAAACAGTTCATTCATTGAATTTTAAAAGTCATGTTCCCCTTGACTGTGGTATCATTTTAGAAGTTTTTTATCTGCTTTTCTGATTTTCGGTAAACAGTAAAGTCGGCTCTTTATAAGTTTCTCTACTTTTCTACCAGCAAGGTCTCATCAATAGAAAAATGATTAATAATTTCTGCCACACTGATCTGTTGTATAAATTAACATTTCATATTTATGTTTTTTGAAGTAGAAATATGCTAACATTTCTTTCAACTTAGTAGTGCAATAAGGGTTATTGAGTGCCTGGTGTGTGCAACTCATCCTGTCTCCAGGAAGGTTAAGCTCTTCTGGAGTAGGAGAGGTGCAGTGACCAATTATTAAATTTGTATTTGAGAATCTTGACCTATTGGCTTTTCCTGCCTAGATTCTGTCAGTTAAAATCTTTTCTATTCATTAATTTATCTACTAATTCAACAACATTTATTGACAGGGTGATCATATCATTGTTCATGTAAATTAGGGTACTTTCATGAATAAACTGAAGCACTTATATAAAATTACTCCAGGACAGCAGGCATAAGTCAGGACTCTCACAGGCTGACTGCATTGTGTGAATATCTGATTTATTGAGCACTTGCTGTGTAACTGGCTTTCAAGCTGGTTGCTAGCGATTCAGAGGTTAAATAATATTGGGCAACTTAAGTCTACTGGGGTGCCAAACGTGTAAGTAAATATAATAGCTATAAATGTCATATAGAGGTATAATAGAAGCATTAAGTATCCCTCAGAAGTGTCAGGTTTTTCAGAGGAGGTAAGTGGACTCTGAGGTCCTAAAGGCTGCATTCGCTATGCAGATGAAAGCCTGGAAGGGCATTCTAGCATGTACAGAGGCACAGGGGTTAAAAAACGACATCTTACAGGAGGTTTGGTAATGTGGCCTAGCTGGGAACATGACTGTTCTTTGATTATCATTCTTTAAACCATACATTTGTGGTACATTCTTTTATTTGTGTGAGCTGCTTGTGCAAATATATGAGGCTGAATGGGAAAAAACGAAATGGATTATGGAGGAGAAATCACATGTTAAATGAGATGAAAGAGCATAGTGTTTTGAAGAGGTTGCAATAATTGATAAGAATGTAATATTGATGATAGAGCGAGACTGGAAAAGCAAGATGAGGCCTGATCATGGAGAGGTTTGAGTTAGGGAGTGACATGACCAGAAAGTTAACTTTGAGAGTGGTGTGGGAGATGGGTTTGAGGTAAAACCTGGCCAGGGCCAGGAAGCTCTGTTGGAAGGTTAGAAATGTGAACATCTGGATGACATCAGCAATTGGGATAGAGGGAGTGATTTAAGAGATTTTTGCCATGTAAATGAAATTTGGGTTATTAAAAAATATATATTTTTTCTGAGACAATGTCTCACTCTTACCTAGGCTGAGTGCTGTGGCACAATCCTGGCTCATGGCAGCCTTGACCTCCAGGTCTCAAGTGATCCTTCTACCTCAGCCTCCTAAGTAGCTGAGACTACAGGTGTGCTCTACCATGCCCTTCTAATTTTTGTTTGAAAATTGGGTTTGTGTTTGGATATTATATCCTTATAGAGAGTTTTGGCTTTATCACTAAATAACTTTTTTGATCTCTCTCACTATAACTGAAACTGAACTTTATTTCTTCAAATGTGAAATGGGGCTAATGATAAGCTAAACACTTGCAAATAGTTTAGAGAATCAATGGGAGACAACATCAAATGTTTTCTTTTTGGTGATGTGTATTACTCCAGGTACTCTGCTCATGGGGAATTCGAGAGAATGAGAGTCAGCGTCCTCTGGGAGGTCATGAGTGTGATTTCTGCAGGGGATCTAAGGAAGGGTCCACTCAAATTCGGCCACTGGAAGTGGGGACACCTTTACTGAGGGCACAGCTCGCTGCAGGAGTTGTTACCCAGGAAAGACTGAGCTCTGCCTGTAACACCCAGAGAATTTTCAGCCCCTCAAATATGGTAACTGCCTTTACAAAGGGAGTATCTCTTTAATAATGCAGGGAATCACAAAGGAGTTCCCTTAAACCTTCATATATGATAAAACTAAGAGTCTTTGTATGAAGTCAGGCTCTTAGTCATGAGAACATGATTTAAAACACCCTTAAGGAAGGGAGGTTTTACTGTAGGAATATGAATAGGCAAAGACTGAGAAGCCATCTAGAACTAGGCAGCTCTGAGGTTTGGTGTTGCTTACCCTGGGTCTCCTCTGCCCATCAGCTCCCCATAGTTTCCCTGATGGCATGTGTGCTCTCTCTCTTTAGGAGATTTGATCTCTTACTACCTACTGGTTAATGGTATTGGGTCTGCCACCCCATGTTCTCAGTGGAGTCTATCTGATTCTTTAGCTCATTACTTTTGCCCTTGCGTGACAGAACCTTTTGTACTAGATTACCTCTAGTCTTTGGCCAGACTAAGTCTTGGGAGTCAAGGCCCTCCCAAGTCTAGCAATTCCATGCTGCATAAAAAACAGCATGGTGCTGACTAGGGACTGTGGAAGTTGGTCATCATGATTGCCCTGTTCGGTATACGTTGGACTCTGAAATACTTTTCCTACAGATGAAATCTTGAGGTCAAGGCCCATCATATACTGTGCAGTTCCACATCCAGAGAGCCTCAAGCCCACCCTGGGACTGGAGGGGAAACACTAGGTATAGAAATGCCATCTTGAAGTTAGCAGCCCGTTCTTTGAGAAAAGTAAGCGATGCGCTTCCCAGATAGGCCTCAGGAAACCATATTACCCACTCTTTGTGGAGGCTTTTATGAAAACCACAATGCAATGTGATTGAGAAGCGTTTCTGATGCGAATCAGATTCCTGGGCTCTACTCCAGACATTGAATCAGCATCTCTGGGTATCAGACTCAGCATTTTATCACACTCATCAAATAATCTTTGTGCTAGAGCAGTAATAGCTTCAACTAGTTTAAGAGATGCACATGGATCTAAGTTTCCAGTTCACCCACCACTAGAATCCTGCAGGAAGGTGGAACTCAGCCTACTCTGCACTAGTTGAAAGGAGGAACTTGCGGGCAACCCCTTCAGGTTCTCTCCTCTCAATAAATCCTGCTTTCTCAAAAAAAAAAAAAAAGAACAGACTGGCAAACATTTATTTTGGTTCTTGAAGTTTCTGAGAAAACATGAGTAGCATCAGACTCAAAACTAAATTATGTTGCTAGTCACTAGTTGAGTGACTCAGGCCAAGGTACTGAAATTTTTAAAACTCTTGATTTCTCAGAACAGGAATATATATGGACGATGCTCAGGGAAGTGCCTGGGACATAATAAACAATAAGTGGTAGCGGTTGCCACCTGGGGCTAATATGTGTCAATGACTGGGCTATGGGTGCCCAGATATATTGCCAAGCATTATATCAATTACAAATGTAATCATTCTTTTTTTAAAGAATCCATCATAAATGATTCTGTTTCAGTGAGTTGAAGAGTTTGACACAGAAAGGTGCTGGTAAGCAAACACTGAGAATAAGTTATTAGAACCTGTTTTCCAAAGAGAAAACAGATATTAAAGTAAATGTCAGCATGCTTTCTTGAAGAATCACCGTTAACTGGTTTCTTTCAGTGAAGGAAAGAGTTGATGAATGAGATTCGTTTCTAAGCAAAAGTTTAGAACATGTTATTCAAACATTTATTTTTCCACAATGGGTATTCATGTGCCTATAGAGACAGACATTCAGTAATAAAAGGCAAATGTAATCATGCTTTTCATGTGAGGCATCACAAGCTGTTTTCTTTCAAGGAATGGAAGAGTTTCACGAAGAAAGGTGTTTGTAAGCAGACATTGAAAATAAGGTATTTGAACATGTTTCTCCAATAGGCGCCAAGAGGTCAAAAGAGAAACCCACTTTTTAAAATGGAAGTTTGCTTTCTTAAAGATTCATCATTAATTATTTTCCTTCAGTGAATGGAAAAGTTTGACAAATGAGATGATCTTCTTTCTTTTTCTTTTTTGAGTCGGAGTCTCATTCTGTCGCTCAGACTGGAGTGCAGTGGCCGCTGCCGGCCACTGCAACCTCGACCTGCTGGGCTCCGGTGATCCTTCCGCCTCAGCCTTCCCGTAGCCGGAACTACAGGCATGTGCTACCACACCTGGCTGATTTTTTGATTTATTGTAGAGATGAGGCCTCACTGCCCAGGTGGGTCTCGAACCCGCGGGCTCAGGCAATCCACTCACCTTAGCCTTCCAAGGCGTGGGATTACAGGCTGAGCCACTGAGCCCGGCATGAGATGATTTTCTAAGTGAACGTTTAGGAGATGCTATACGAACATTTCATTTTCCCTATTGAGCCCCCATGAGCCTCTAGAGATATCTAGCATGAAAGGGTAGATGTAATCATGCTTTCCCCAGGATGCAGCATAAACTGCTTTTCAGTGAATGGAAGGGTTTGTCACACAGAGGCTTTGGTTAGCAAATGTTGCCTTCTAGTTCTTAGGGGGTGAGGAACTGGCCTACAAACCAGGAGACCCTCTGCGGGCCTCTCCCAGGTTCCTTCAGTCCCTCCAGGGGAACTGGTTTACAGAACAGGAGATCATCTGTGGGGCTGTCCCAGGAGTCTTAGTAGGTTGGCAATGGTGACAGAAGCTTCTGTTATTTTAGTGCACAACCTCTCCTTCCTTATTCCACAAGAGCAAAAATTCACTGGGGCAATCCTGCATCCATCTAAGAAGACTACCTCTCCTTGGCTCCCTCAGATCCAGGTGTGGTCACATGGCTAAGTTTCAAGCAGACAGCTCTGTGGGATATCTGGGGAGTATCTGGAAGGAAGGCAGTAGCCCCTTCCCTGCCATCTCTTCCTGGTGCCGATGTGGAGCGTCCTGTGATGAATGGAACCCCATTGTTGTGGCCTGGGGGCGGTTGGAGGATGGGAGCTGGTGGAGGGCATGAGGCAGAAAGGTGGATGCAGGCTACGTGTAGGGGCTTATATATGTAATCTGAACTCTTCTAGAGGTCAAGGTGAGACAATTGCCTGAGCCCATAAGTTCAGGAGCCTGGGCACCATGGCGAGACCTCATCTCTGCAATAAATTTTAAAAGTAACTGGACTTGGTAGTGGTGCACACCTGTAGTCCCAGCTACTTGGAAGGCTGAGGCAGTAGGATCGCCTGAGTCCAACAAGTCGAGGCTGTAGTAGACATGATCGTGCCACTGCACTCCAGTGTGGGCGACAGAATGAGACTCTGACTCAAAAAGAAAAAAGAAAAAGAAAAAACGATGGAAGGAGGCCCCAATGTGGCTCACGTTGTCCACTCACAGGATACCTTAGTCATTTTCAGCACCCTGTGGTTCTTCTGTCTCTTATCATGAGTTCTCGCTCATTTGAGTTTCTCTCTTATGTTCTTATATCAACCCCATAGGCTATATATACTAAGGGATGTGAATTGTCTTATAAACCTCAACAACTGTACATAACATGGCTCCTCTCCTATTTTATATCAAAGTGCCTTGAAACTGTACTTGAATTTAGAAGACAAAAAAGTGAGCCAGTCCCAAAGCCTTCCTTCCCC